AGGGGTTAAAACAGAGAGCCAGTTTGGTCTAGTGGTGAAGGCACCAGGCCAGAAATCAGGAGATGGTGAGTTCTAGGCCCAGCTGAGGTATGAAAGCTGGCTGGGTGACCTTGGGCCACTCTCTCTCAGCCCAACTCACCTCACAGGGTGGTTGTTGTGGGGAAAGTAGAAGGAGGAAGGAGTATTAGGTATGTTCACCACCTTAAGTTATTTATAAAAATAATAAAGGGATAAAAGATCTAAAAAAACAAAACCGCCCTTTCCACCAGGCACCAGACCTTCAGACAGCTTCCCAGCTCAATCCCCATCCTAGCCCAAAGCTTGAGAGAAGATCCAGGTCTTCGGAAGGGATCTCCCAGGTGGGAAGCAGTTCCAAAGGGCTGGGATGGCTCCCGAGAAGGCGTGCTAAAACAAAGCTACTCTCCAATAGGTTGTTCTAACCCAAACTTTCCTGTCCCAATAGACTTTTGATCAGGCAAATTAATGGACCTGGCATCAGGACACGTCTATTATTACAACTCTAGTACATAGTATAGTATAAAGAAATACTCATGAGGCTTAAAATGTAGTCTGAAAAAAAAGCCAAATTAATAAAATACAGATAACATTATAATGAACTTAACTTGACCTGATACCTGCATCACACAAAGCCATAGTGTGCTATCGGGGGGGGGGGGGTTGGGGCTTAGCATGTTGGATGAATCAAACCACATCATGGTTGAAGCAAACCATGGCTTAGTGACAACCCCAGCCTTAAGTGGGTACTGTGTGTGTTATTTTGAGAGATTAATTCCAGGATTACTGTGTAATTATATATATGTAATTGTTTATAATTATACATTTTAAAATATTGTGTTCACTGCTTCAAGATATTCTTGATATGGGAAGCAGTATAAACATCAATTAAATAGAACATTTATTTTCGGGGTAGCATTTGTCTACAATTTCAGATATATAACTCATAAGAAAGAAGTAGTCATATAACTTTCTTTAGAGCATAACATGAATGCATATTCTTACAGTAGTTCAGGCATGATTTTTGGAGTAACCCAAAGAGAGAGATACAAAAGTAAGATGCTGTTTCAGAAATGTGAATAGAAAGAATTCTCAAGTGGAGCATAATTATCACAGTGTGGTGAAATTCTTCTACTGCAATCCTGTTGAAAGGAATGAGCCTGTGTAACTCTTCATTTATATGTTATACTAAGCCATGATTAACCATGGTTTATTGAATCAACCACAGCAGCATGGATTGGGCAACTTCATGGGCTGAGGGCCATACTTGGCATAGAGTGGTGTGCTAAACTAATGACCTGTACTTTAAAAAATAGGGTAAATTCATATTTGTAATTGCTATTAAAATTAGAGTTAATACGATGCTCTGTCAGAACCTGCAGAAATCAAAATATTAATCAGCTTTGGTCATGTGTTTGATCATTTTCTGTCCCATTAAAAACTACATTAACTGCTCAATGGAGACCACGCCAAAAGCTTTCAGAGCGGTCTCACATTGCGCACCTCAGGACTAAAACATATATATTGCTTTACTAACCAGACAAGGGTTCCCACACATATATTTCAGAATTGGCTGCTGAAGTGGTGTTTCTCATTAACCGATCCAGTGATAAATTGTTTTATGACACGTTACTCTTCACTAAAAGATAATAACATGGGAGGAACTAAATTCACATTACTGCTCCTGTTCAAGGACAATATTATGTGTGGGCTGTACAGGCTAATTTGTCCTTGAATGGGAGCAGTGGTGAGAATTTAGTTCATACAGTACCTATGCATGTGTATATACACACACCCTTTGCAGGGCTCAGGTGACTAGCATCTTTGTTTTTAGAAAATGCTTTAAGTCGAAGAAAGTTCACAGATGTCCTAAAAGATGTCATACCCATTCAGAAGGTCCAAAAGACTGAACATAGAGTCTACGACTGCATATTGCATTTAATCCATACTTCGATTAAGATGCAGTTGGCTTGATATATATGTAATGCTAACCCATGAAGTCTATTTATTGTACAACATAAACTTCACCATTATGGCTGGCTTATACTACTCATTAAACCAAAAGCAAAACAATGCCGTGGTTGGCTTGGCCTGCTCTGTTAACTCAGCAGCAGTCTTTTGACACTTAAAACAACCGCTTTTATTATGCCATAACTGCATGTGAATTTAAAAAATGGACTATGGTTCAGAAAGGTTCATCTTATAATGAATGTGTTAATCTTTCAAATGGTACAAAAAAAGTGGCTTGGGTTATAGCAAATTCAAAAAGGTGTTTCCTGTGCTGATGAATATGCATGATCTGCTAACCCTTCATTCCATAAGGACAAATCAATTGGAATTCCCTATTCTAATCCCAGTGTGTTTGGAACAATGTGTTTTGAATCCCAAATGTGTTTGGCACAATGGCAAAATCCTTACTTCTGCTCTCAAATTGGCTTTAAATACAGCAGAACAATTAATCGCCTTAGGATAATCATAAGACTACTTCAGAGCTAAGATGTACCAATCAGACACACGGGAGTCTCTCATGTCCCGGGCTGTCCTTGTTGACGGGCCTCTTACAGACAACCTGAAGAAGTGCAATATGTAATCTGTACATGAAACAAAAATGCAGTGGTTTATCTTTTCCTGGGACACACACACACACATAATAATTCTACCTGTGCAAGGTGGATTTAGGGGAAGAAATTGCTACTGTCTCTTTAAGAGCCTAACACTGTCCTGCAAGTGAGCTGTTATAAAGGCAGGTAAGCTGAAGCTCTTGGATTAAATGATCTGGCAGCCAGGCAGAAGGAAGCAATCTACATAATGACAGGCCATAACTGCTGGGGATATGGGCAGAAAGATGGTAGGTGATTTGCACAACCCTCCCCCTTCTATTTTCTATGCATCCCATCTTTTCTTCCTTCTATTCAATATAGTTGTATTATACTGCTTGGGTTCATGCCTAGGTCCCACCACCACCAGGCTATATGCAACAGGCAATTAAAGGGTTAACTTTTAAGCAGCTTTTACATTATTGCTGGGTCAAAATATGCCCTGGTCATTTTTTTTAAGCATTTGTGGGTCACTCCTGCTTGTTTGGATTTTTAATTAGGAAAAAAAAAAGTTGCTAGGCTGTAGGCCCACTATTTTATTGCTGAACTGGGGTCCTTTCTGTTGCCTTTCCAAATAACCCATTAAAAAGATGCTTGCAAGCAGTGCTGATCAAAGACCATTCTGTATGCAAAGTAAACCAGGGAAGAGAAGCAGATAGAACATGGGTGCTCCAGCGCTGATCAGGGAATAGGTC